CTTTTCTTCGTTAATAGCATGTGACATGTGAAAAATATAATGTAGTGGATAAAATTAAGGATGTGTTCGGTAGAGATTAAAATCGAATTAAAATTGAAAAACTAACCGTTATTATTGATTTTTATTAAACGAGTGAAATCCAATAATGACTATATTTTTAATTTTAATTGGATTTAAGCACAACTGAACACGCCCTAAAGAAAGACAAATATATGATCATACTTCAATTTTGTTCACTCATCAGCAGTTATATATAGTACTTTAATTCGATAATCCTTGTGTTGAATCACATCATTTGAATGTTTAAATTGTTAGAGACGAAAGACATTTTACTTTATTTATGTGTATATTTCAACACAATTGTACAAGTTAAGAGTTAATTATTTCTTTTTCTTTTTTATTAGTCTAAATCTCAATTTTTCGTATCGTATTAGACTACTCTAACACCAAACCCATAGATATCAGATTTTTAATAAATTTTGATAAAATTATATAGAATGTGTGATTGAAAAGTTGTGTCGCATGAAATATGTGACTAAAATTAATTATTAACTTTGACTCAAATTTTAATTCACTTTTGTAGCTAAACCAAACATGGTCTAAGTTAAATTAAAGGTGTAAACTATAATTGGGCCCTTCTCAATTATGAATTTGAATACTGTTAAACCCTTTAATTTACTAAAACTTATAAGTCAAGTCTAAAAGACAAAACTTGAATTAGAGATATAAATCAGACCATACTGACCAGTTTTTTGATGAACCAAGTTGGGGCCATTAGGTGATGTGCACGTAGAATTATTTTCTCTTTCTTCTCCCAAAAAATCAATATGTAAAACTAGTATAATAAGCATGAATCTTTACTAAATTTAATAAAATCTTGCAAGTAATATTTAAAAGATGCATGCTTTAGCTAAACATATTTATTACAAAGTAGAAACAAAAATGGAGAATGAAATCTCTTCTCTTATTCAATTAAGAATGGCGAGTTTACATAGTATAAATAGCAAACAAGAAAGGAGGGAAAAATAGGCGGGAAAAA